AGTGCTCTACCATTTGAGCCACAGCACCGCTTCTGGCTTTTTCTGTTTATGTGGTGCTGAGGAATTGAACCCAGGGCCTCATGCATGCGAGGCAAGCACTCTACCACTGAGCCACCTTCCCAGCCCTCAAGCCAGTTTGTTATATTTTAAATCTATCTTATTTTAAGCCAGACTATGCAAAATACAGTTATATCCGTATAAAGAATTATGGGGCTGGGAAGGTGGCTCAGTGGTAGAGTGCTTGCCTTGCATGCTTGAGGCCCTGGGTTCAATTCCTTAGCACCACATAACCAAAAAGAAAAAAAAAACCTGAAGTGGCGCTGTGGCTCAAGTGGTAGAGCGCTAGCCTTGAGCTGAAGAGCTGAGGGACAGCGTCTAGGCCCAGAGTTCAAGCCCCATGACTGGACCCATCCCCCCCAAAAAAAAGAATTAACCTACCAGCCTGGCACTGGTGACTCACACCTGTAATCCTAGCTCCTCAGGAGGAGGCTGAGATCTGAGATTCATGGTTCCAAGACAGCCTGGGCAGGAAAATCTATGAGATTCTTATCTCCAGTGAACCCCCCCCAAAAAAAGCCAAAAGTGGAGCTGTGGCTCAAGGGGTAGAGCGCTAGCTTTGAGCCCAAAACAGCTCAAGGGAACAGTGCGCAGGCCCTGAGTTCAAGCCCCAGATCAGCACACATGCACACACCAAAAATCCTATCTATGTTGGACTGAATGGCCAAGACTCAGACGGTCCAGGATGAGCAGGGGTGGTGAGGGGCAGATGGGTCTCTAGTCTGTGGTGGCAACATGGCACAGGTGACAGATGTGCCACCAGGCAGATGCCAGGAGCTGGCTTGCTCACAAAACATGGGACCCATGGCACACACACCCCTTCTCTCCCTGATGTCCCCCCATAGTTCTCGTATGTGGACGCCGATGGAGCCCCGGTAAACGTGGTACAGTTGACTTTCCTGAAACTCCTGAGTGCCACGGCTCACCAGCGCTTTACCTACATGTGCCAGAACTCGGTCGCCTGGCTGGACGAAGCGACCGGTGGCCACGACCGCTCCCTCCGCTTCTTGGGGACCAATGGGGAGCAGCTGTCCTTCAATCAGACAGCGGCGGCTACCATCAGGATCCCCCATGATGGCTGCCGAGTAAGGCGGTGGGGGAAGGGTGGGGGAGGGCTCCCCTCCCTCCTTGGCCTTGAACTCACGTCCTGTGTGTCTTTCTGACCCTCAGCTCCGGAAGGGGCAGGCCAGGACCGTGTTGGAGCTCAGCTCTTCTCGAGTGGGTTTCCTGCCTCTGTGGGATGTGGCTGCCACGGACCTTGGTCAGACCAACCAGAAATTCGGCTTTGAACTTGGGCCCGTGTGCTTCAGCAGCTGAAGGTCTTGGGGCCGGGGGTAGAAAGAAGTAATGCGACGGATTCCGTGCTGTGGCTCTGACGGCGCCATATTTATTAGCTTCTGGGACTCTGGGTCTTGAAGATGGGTTTCTGTGGGTGTCTTCTCCCTGCCAGCCTGAGGGAGGGAGTTCTCTGGGTTCCCCAAGGTGGGGGGGCTTCACTGTGCTCTCCCTCTTTCTCCTCTGTAACCTTATCCACCCCTTCCCTAGCGCCCCCCCCCCAAAAAAACGAGCTTCAAACTCAGAGCTGATGAACTCCTCCCCACTCCCCCCCATGCCTGTGCCCACCCTCCCAGGCTGCCAACCCTTTGGTGCTACCTTTTGCCATAGTTAAGCACTGGATGTCCCCCCCCCTCTGCTCCCAGAGACCCTCCCCTTCACGCCCCCCCCACGAGCTGTGTGGCACTTTCCCCCTCCCCCCAGGCCTCTCTGGCTGCCACCAGGTAGTGTGGGGACCAAGATGGCGGCCATAGATCAGGATCCTTCAAAGGTGCTGCCCTATTTATCCCTCGGACTTGTTGTTGTTGTTGTTGTTGTGTGTGTGTGTGTGGTAACAACCTCTCCTGTGGTTATATTTAATCTGCTTCTTCCCTAGAGAAGGCTGAGGGGGAGGGGAGGGACATAGGGTCGGGGGTGGGGGGTGGGGAGGAGATGGCAGGAGAAATTTCTAGCATGGCCCCCTCCCCCTCTCCACCTCCCCCATCACCCTCCCCTCCCAAGGGAGAATTCCTATCTCCAGTGTGAGAATAAATCAATGGACTGTGATTCTGTCTTTTGTCTGCTATTATTACCTACACACACACATACACACACACACTGGATTGTTATCTCACCTGAAGAGAACACCTATATGAATGAATGAGGCAAGTTTATTGGGAATCCAACTATACCAGGACCCTCTGGACGATGGTTAACTCCATGAGGGTCTGGATTCCACAGCATGGCCAAAACAGTCTTAGCCAGTAGATCACGCCTGTCATCCTAGCTACTCAGGAGGCTGAGATCCCAAGGATCAAGATTCAAAGCCAGCCTGGGCAGGAAAAGTCCCTGAGACACTTATCTCCAATAAACCACCAAAAACCGGGAAGTGGTGCTGTGGCTCAAATGGTAGAGCGCGTGCCTTGAGCTGAAGAGCTGAGGGACAGCGCCCAGGCCCAGAGTTCAAGACCCACAACCAGAAAGGAAAAAAAAAAGTCTCATGGACTTTTACTACCTGGGCTGGCTTTGAACTGAGATCCTCAGATCTCAGCCTCCTGAATAGCTGGGATGACAGGCATGTGTCCCCGCACCTGGCCCCAGTGCAGGATTTGAATGCAGATCTACCAGTCTTGGGTTTGCCCATTTCAACCCACGCCACTGCGGTCATTCGGGTGGGCAGGGACCGTTAACGTATATCTTAATGAGGAGGGTGCATGAAACCAACACTTGGTAATGAGTGAGAAATGCAACTTGTAAATTAAAGGCTAATTGAAAGAAGTGTCAGAAGGCCATTCTATGTGGCCCAGCTCCACTTCCTGCATCCGTGAAGTCTTACTGCCAGCACACTGAAAAGCCCCCAGCTGATTTGCATATTCAGCAGCCATAATTAATCACACCCACTTGCTTCCTGAGCCATTACTGACACCCAGTATTCTCAGCTGGAGGGGGGGCCGGCATCTAGACAGGAGATCACTGTGGCCCTGTACAGAGATGGTTGTCACACACACACACACACACACACACACAATGTTTGCATATGTGAACTGAGGGCCCACAGAACCTGATTCTAATTGTGTGTGTGTGTGTATGTGTGAGGCTTTTTCGCTCATGGCTGGCACTCTACCACTTGAGCCACAGCTCCACTTCTGGCTTTTCTGGTGGTTCATTGGCAATAAGAGTTGTCTGGGCAGTTTGTGCCCAAGCTGTCTTTGAACTGTGATCCTCAGATCTCAAGCCTCCTGACTAGCTAGGATTGCAGGCATGAGCCAGCTGTTTTTGGATTTTTATTTTATTTTACTTTGTTTTTTTCCAGTCCTGGGGCTTGAACTCGGGTTCTGGGCTCTGCCCCTGAGCTTTTTGTTCCTCAAGGCTAGCACTCTACCACGAAGCCACCTTCCCAGCCCAGGATTTATGTATTGATTTTTAGTTTCTGAAAACCCAGTTTCAAAATTGCAGCCCAGGCTGGCCTTGAATTCTATTCTCTGATCTTAGCTGAGTGCTGGGATTACAGGCAGGTACTACCATCCCTGGCTGGGTGTGTGTATGGGGAGGGGGGGTCTGTGTTTCACATAGGCACACAAATCCATTTCCTGAGCTCTCAGCTTGCACTTGTGGAACACAAGGGGTGAGTTTGCTGTCATCTATCTTGGGGGGGGAGGGAGAAGCGGGGTCAGGGCTGCACAGAGACCTAAAGGGGGAGAATGACAGCCCCACTGCTTCCCCGCTGTGTGACTCTAAATAAGTAGCTTCACCTCTCTGAGCCTCGCCTTTCCTCTCCTATGAAATGCTTCCCGGGGCTTCTGCGGGAGTTGCAATTGGCACCAGCCTGTTCTGGCTCAGCACTGGGAGCTGTCCTGGTGCTGAGCCAATTTCCGGCTGCCTAACCTCGGTGTGAAGACCCAGCTCCTTCCTGCCTTGGCCCAGCTGCAGGCTTGGCTAGGTCTCCTTGTCCCGCCAGCTCCGGCCTCAATTCCCAGGCCCGCAATGAGAAACACATGTGCTGGAGGCCTGCCCGCCTCCCAGCCCGCTCCCCTCTCCTGCCCTCCCCTCTCCCCCCCTCCGCCCCCCTTCCCCAGGCCTCCTGAGTCACTGCAGCCTTTGCACCCGCTTCTCAGTCCAGTTCCCACGATGTCTGGTGTGTCACAGTGGGGACCGCCCCCCCCCAGGCTCTGAGCATGGGACTCTGCCTGCAGGGGGGGGGCGGTGGGAGGGGCGGTGTGATCGAGACAAATTGTGGGTGTGTTGTGGTTGTGCTGTCTACAAAGCATCTCCCCAGGCTGGTGTGTGGACGGGCGTGTGAGCTTTCGGCCTGGTTTGTTTGTTGATGGACTTATGGTTGGGCCAGTGTTGGGGCTTGAACTCAAGGCCTTGCCAGCCCGGGCAGGAAAGTCCGTGAGACTCTGATCTCCAGTAAACCACCAGAAAACCAGAAGTGGCGCTGTGGCTCAAGGGGTAGAGCGCTCGCCTTGAGCTGAAGAGCTGAGGGACAGCGCCCAGGCCCAGAGTTCAAGCCTCATGACCACCACCACCAAAAAAAAAAAAAAAAAGAGTCTCATAGAACCGGGCACTGGCAGCTCACGCCTGTCATCTCAGCTACTCAGGAGGCTGAGATCTGAGGATCCTGGTTCAAAACCAGCCCGGGCAGAAAAGTCTGTGAGACTCTGATCTCCAATAAACGACTCAGAAAAAGCCAGCAGGGGTGCTGTTGTGTGACTGCGTGCGTGTTGTGCACGTCGTGTACTGTTGTGTCCGAGGATGCTGCTGTGGGCGCTGGGGCCTGTGTGCGGGCGGACAGCTGCATTTGTGAGTGTTTGTTGGGGTGTTTCTCTGGAGAAGTCATCCCTGGGTTGCTACTTCTGCAGGCTTCTGTGCCAGGACATCATCTGGGGTGTCCTTGGCTGACCTCGTGACCCCATTGTGTCTGGATGTTAGATTGCATGCGCTCCTGGGGTCACCCGAGGCCAGGCTTCCATCCCATAACTGGGTCACCCACACGGGGGTGGGGGGGTGGACAGTGATGTTGGTTCCGGGGACAGACACAGGACTGTGGGCCTTGGGGTGGGCAGGACATTGGAGTCAGCCCTGCTGGGGTAGCTGCCTGGCATCTAGAGTCAGGCTGGCCAGCTCGGATCTGCAAGCCCCACCTCCACCCTGCAATGCCCATCTGAGAAACGGGGGGGGGGTGCCCCTGCTGCAGGCGGCTTGCCTGGACCCTCACGGTCTGCGCATGTCCACCAGCCCCAGGGCTGGCTCCGGCGAGCAGGATCCTGGGGACAGCCAGGTGTCAGTGGGTACACTGCATACACACAGGGCGAACTGGATTTCAGGCCCATGTCTGCTCTTCAGTGCTGAGTGACCCTGGGCAGGATACTGAGCCTCTCTGTGACTTAAGATTTTTATTCTATTTTGTTATTCTATTGTGTATGTGTGTGTGAGAGAGAGACAGAGAGACAGACAGACAGAGAAAGGGTCTCATTAAGGAACTCAGGCTGAATGTGGCCTTTCTCATCTTCCTTTGTCCCTATGTGCAACTGTGCAGAGACTACAGTCATACGCTACTACACCCCCTACTCTTTCTTTTCTTTGTCAGTCATGGGCTTGAACTCTGGGCCTGGGCGCTGTCCCTCAGCTCTTCAGCTCAAGGCTGGTGCTCTACCACTTAAGCCACAGAGCCACTTCTGGTTTTCTAGTGGTTTATTGGAGAGAAGAATCTCACAGATTTCCCTGCCCAGGCTGGCTTTGAACCAGGATCCTCTCAGCCTCCTGAGTAGCTAGGATTACTTCTTTAAAATTATTATTTCTTTAGTGCTGGGGATCGAATGTTGGGGCTTAAGTATGTGAGGCAAACAACCTACCAATTCAGCCAACCACCCAGCCCTTTTTTGTTTTTGAGATAGGGTCTTCTAATTAGCTCACACTGGCCTTGAACTCATGATCCTATTCCTCTACCTCTCCAGTGCTGGCATTACAGGGGTGCACCACCACACTCGGCTCTGTCAAACAGCAAATGCTGATTGAGAGGATTTAGCCCAGTGTGGAGTGTGGCCTGGCTCAGCGAGGGGTTTGCTAGTATAGCATGTTCCCAGGGTGGTTGGGAGGGAAGTGCTGAGTACTTAGTCATAGCTGAGCCTGGGGTATTAAGACTGAGTGAATAAGAAGGTTCTCACCAGGCAGAAGAGGGAAGGGAAGGGAAGGGAAGGGACGGGAAGGGAAGGAACATTCCAGCCACATCTCAATCAAGAGTTTGGCTGTGGGAGCCCAGAATCAATACCAGATGCTTCCATGCCCCAAAGATGCCTCTGCTAGAAGCTTGGCTTGGGCCTCGCTCTGGTAACCTCTAAAAGATGGGGGTGATTAGGTTGGGGTGCATGTGGGGGGTGTCAGAGGCAGGGTGCTGTGGTTGAATGGGATCATTGGTTATTTTCATTGGAGTCTGGCGAGTTCCCACCAAATAAAACCGTGTGTTGTTCTAAAAACCAGCAAGCTTTGCCGGACACAGGGGCTCATGCCTGTAATCCCAG